ACTTACATGTACATATTACAATTTAATAACATACATACATACCCTACATAAGGACATACATAACCATACATACATAACACCACATATCATATCATAGACCATACATACACTAACAATGATCATAATTACATACACTACACTCACCCTATCAATTTTTAACAAATAAAACATATCATAGTCATAAACATACTTACCCATACACTAGGCCGGACATAACATAAATTCAGCATACCCACCACCAATAAACATAACATCACATACATACACCCCATACCCTACTCACCTACCCACTAACCACAATACAAACTCACATAAACAATACATACATACAATAAACATAACATACATACCATACCATAACATACATCACATACATAGCAATACATAGCATACATACATAACATACCATACATACATACATCATAATACATTACATACATACAATACCCATAACATAGAAGACATAAACACAATACCATACATACAATACATACAATACCCGACTAACAAAAAAAACCAGTACCATAAAATAAACAATACATACAATAACTACATACATACAATAAAATAGCATAAAAATAAAAAAAACATACAGTAAAAACCATTACAATCAATAAAACCAAATACAATTACTATAGCAACGCGCATACCCAATACCCCAAACCCATACATACGAAATAACAAAACCATATAATCATACAAATAGACATACAATACAATCAAACATACACATAACCAATACCATCACAATCACAATACATAAACAATATCATACATACATACACTACGATAAACCATAACAACATACATAACATATACATACATTACATACATCCCCATCCATTAACGACGATATACCATTACATAACATACATAGCATAACACTCCATACATACACTACATAACAACTAGCCTCCACATACATACAATACACACTACATAACATCCATCACACATACCCTACATACCCATACATACCATTATATACATACATACATAGCACATACCCAATACGGCAATACACACATACATAAACATAACAATTACATACATAAACATAAAACATAGCGAACTACAATAACCAAAAACTACATCCTACCCACCCACACCCCCCACCATAGACCATACAACCAATTACATTACATAAACATACACGATACCATCACATACAGCTAACAATAAAAGCACACTACACTACATAAAACAATAAACTCACATACCAGACCACTACATACATAAGCCAATCTCACACCACACTACATACAGTACAATAATCATACATACCATAAGATACCATAACGTATACATACATAAAATTCCAACAATACCTCACCATCAAAACATACATAACTATTATCATACATCCAACATCACACAATAACAACATCAGCATAACCCACAAATTACCCATCCATCCTACATACAAATAACATAGCATACATACACTAACATGACAACCACACATACACCTAACACCCCCCCCCCCACCCCCCCCCCCCACCCACCCCCCAACCACCACCCCACCCCCCTCTACATACAATCAACTACAAACCATACAACATTCAAATACATACATACATACAGTAACCTACATACTAATACATAACAACATAAATCACATACCCCATACACTAACATACATACACTAACATTACATACATACATACAATAACAGTACCCCATTACTACATTACATACACTAACCATACCACTATGGCGCATACCATACAAAACATATCATACATACATAACAGATACAATCCACATAACATACAACCCATACATACATAACAATAACCCATAAAACACTACATACATAAAACATCCAAAATAATCTAATCATAAATCAGATGACCCAATCCAAAATACAAATAAACATAACATCCATAACATACATACATACATACATACATACCGATACATACATCATACATACATACATACATACAATACACTACATACAATATACATACGAACACCCATACCTAACACTACAACATACAAATACATACCTACATACCACCTACATAACACCTCATAACATACGATAACCCCAACTCCCCATAGACCATAACCTAAACAATTAACATACATACATAACAGACATACACCCTACCACTAAAAAAAAAAAACCAATAACATACCCTTACAAATCCACCTACCTACCAACAATACCAACCACCCAATATGATACATAACATACATTACATGACATAACATAACAACATACATCATACATACATACATACATACATACATACATACATACATACATACATACATACATACATACATACATACATACATACATACATACATACAATCGTCATCGATCGATAGATCGTCATCGTAATAATCGTTATGCTCGCCTACATTCATGTTCATGCTGATGGTAATTGTCATCGTTATTATCACCGTCATTATCATCGCCAGTGTCAGTGTCATCGTCTTCGTGGGCTTTTATATATCATGGTTCCCCTATAGGAATAGTGTAGGCTGCGTCGGGAGTCAATATCTCCCCCACTGTCTACGATTCCAGGTTCTAGTAACTGGAAATTGGTTTCATCCGACGACGATTAGCTAAATTGGTATGGCGACAGCACGCGCGCTAGGCAGCGATACACCGGGAGGTATTAAAGGTGGTGTGTAAAGTCAACGATACTGCGCAAGCGTGCGCGTATGTGCGCGTGAGTGTGCTTGCGTGTATGCGTATGGGTATGTGCGTGCGTGTTTAGGTTTAAGGTGTGTGCCATTGGGTGCGTGCCTAGGTGTGTGCCTAGGTCTGTGCCCAAGGGTACGTGCCATTGCGTGCGCGCGTACATGCACGAATATTTGGTGTCTATGCGTGTGTAGGTGCCGGGTAAAGTCAATGATGTTTGCAGAAGGAGATTAATCACTAAAGTGATTTTTACTGATACTTATCGAGTCGCGCGACCTGCCTTATAAGCTGTGTACGTAATTACTGATTCTGCTGAGAAAATTGGTGGGAACGAATATATGAAGGGCGAGCGGGAGGGCGAGAGTAAGAACGAGCGAAATCAATCAATTGAAGGAAATGTGGCGGAAACGAGTGGACAAACACAGCTAAAGACTGAAAGGGCGAGAAACCTTCACACAGAGAGAAATGGAATGAAGATAGTGTAAACAGAGGAAACAGCGTAGTAAAGAATGAAAGGCCGATGAAGAGGGAGGAAAAGAGAGAAAATTAGTGTACGATCAGCTTATAGTTGGCGACAGATGGGACGAGTGTTACAAGACGACGTTGGTATCCTAGATTTAACAATTATTGCTTGGTTACGAGAAAAACCTAAAGTCTTGTTGTTTTAGAAAATCCATGTTGCCCGAAAGCGGAGATCAATGGTAACATTCAATTTCCCTAATAAGTCCCCAAATATATCTGTTGCCTTATAACAATCCGGCATTAACTGTTTTGTTATGTTTGATATAATATATAAGTAAGGGAAGTCATTTACATTCTACTTCTATAAAGAGAATACCTCATACGAGGCTTAGTGTACCTATGATTTATTAGGCGTGATGAAAGTAACGTGAATTCAAGAAGTACCTTAAAACTTCAATGAGCTTTTAATCGCTGAATGGTTTTTTACATAATAAATAATCACAATCCACGAGGGATCGAACGAAATCTACGGCATTTGGACACAATATGGTCTTGCTATTATTCAACAATTACGCAGTTACATCTGTCGTAACACAACTTTTTAGGGTTAAACAACAAATTTGGAAATTTGGCTGGAGTTTTGTGTGTTATACTAACTTTACTTTTATAGCAGAGCTGATATACTCTTATCATCCAGTGGTACTAACCTTCTGTTTCCGCACATCGCGAGGGTTAAAAATGGCGAGATATTTTTATGCTACGTGGCAGTACCATACACTCGTCAGTGCACATAAATGAATAAATAAGTAAATAAATAAATAAATAATATATAAATAAATACAATATATAAATAAATGAAATAAATAAATAAATAAATACCAATAACTAAATAAATAAACGATACACGTAACTGAACCTAATAAATTAAATAACATAATATAAAGTTTATAGAGGCAGGCAACCGCACGCGATACCCCCGCCAATCACAAACGACGGAATCTACAAAGCGGCCTGCTCGTCTAATTCGCGCTACGATCAGTATACTACTGCATCACCACCGCGCGTCAATGTCTTCATACTCTTAGCGAGTGGCACCTCCGTCAGAGCACGTTTAGCGTATTCTATGCTCCGTAATTTATAGCTGATCGCATTTCAGTGCGCCGCTACAGTTGGTCCGCTCGCGACAAGTTTCGAGCATCGGTGTTACCGCGCGCTTTCAATCAGCGTCAGCGCTGCCGGTAACGATTCGCGCGGCCGCGCTCGTTCTTCAACTCTAGTTTCAATGCTGTTTTTCCGCCGCCGCCTGTCTACGACGACGGATGACGATGCGACACTAATAGGACGCACGCCGCTAAATACTTTGATAATACAACGACGCCGATTACGACGCCGAAGACGTATTAATGACGATTGTAACGATGCTAATGACAACGACGAACCAGATAAATGATTGATGACGACCACGGACGATGCACTACACAATAAGGCGAGAGTTAAATGATGATGAAGAACCGGAGAGCAAGGTGGAGGGATGAAGAAGGCGAGAGAGAGAGAGAGAGAACGAGAAGAAATGCAGCTACGAGTGAAAGAAGAGAAAGAGAGAGACAGAGATAAGGGGCGCGCGGGCTGGGGTGGAGGAGAAGAAAGAGAGCGCAAAACAACACTCGAAATGTGTCTTGAAAGACGGACACAAACCGACAGACAACAGACAGACAGAACAAGGGACCGCACGACGACAACGGACGGACGGACACATAGAACGATGTCAGGTTCCGACAGATGAACCGGTCGAACAGACGAACGATTGGATAGGCGGAGAGGCGGAAGTGGAAGTGGGAAGGCTAGAAAGTGGAAGGCAGGAAGGTGGAAGGTGGAAGGCATGAAAGTGGAACATGAAGCGGGAAGGCGGGAGTGTGTAAGTGGCAAGCGCAGAAGGCGGAAGGCAGGAAGGCGGGAAGGGCCGAAGCCGGAAGGTGGAAGCATGAAGGCGGGGGCAGAAGGCGCGAAGGCAGAAGGCGGAAGGCAGAAGGCGGAACGTGGAAGGTGGGAAGGCAAGGCAAGGCGCGAAGGCAGGAAGGCGGAAGGCAGGAAAGGCGAAGGTGAAGGCGGAAAGGCAGGAAGCGGCAAGGCAGAAGGCCGGAAGGTGAAGCAGGAACGCAGAAAGGCGGAAGGTGGAATGCGCGAAGGTGGGATGCGGGAGGCAGGAAGGCGAAGCAGGAAGGAGCGGAAGTGTTAAGTGGAAAAGGTGGAAGGTGAAGGTGGAAGCAGAAGCGGGAAGCAGGAATGCGAAATGCAGGAAGGCGGAAAGGCGAAGTGGAAATGTGGAAGGACATGTGCCGATCGTGGTAACGGAGAAGCACAGATTGCTCCGGCCTGTATATCATCATCGGTTTCGCATCACACACCAATCTGACTTTTAGTGTGTTTCTATTTTTAAACGTACGTCGTTGTATTTCGCGTGGAATGAGCGCGACGCGTGGTGTGCACTATCGAAAAGTAACGACAAGCTCGTATCTCGTTGCCTCGCGTGCGTTTCGTTTGTTTACGCAGGCAGGCAGGAAAGCAGCAGGCAGGCAGCCACACACACGGCCGCTGCACACACACAAGCGCGTACACCAACAATACACTCGTCAACGAATATACGTATATATCAGTCGCTGCATTTGTAGTGTCGTCGCCTGTGCTAGCAGCTGCGTACTCTGATGGGTAACCGAAAGAGTGTGATTATTGACCAATCTAGGCAATTACGATTCTTACGCGCCAGAAATCGGTGATAGGCAGAAGGGCTGTGCGAGCAAATCATTCCGGGTGACTCGACTCTTTCAACAAATTAGTAAATTCGCCAATAACCGCACGATCGATGAGAAAAGAAACTCGAACGTGAAGTCCGATGGGGAAAGGGGGAGCAAGGGGGCGGGAGGGGAAGGGAAGCCAGGCAAAGCGATAAAGCGTGTCTAATTATATCGGTGTTCTGCTTGTAACCTTTCGCCAACCGCGCAATATATATAATGATCAATTTACCAACATATATAATATATATAATAAATATATATAATATGCGTACTACTTCAGTCGGCCCTTGCTCTTCCTCTGTTAATTATCAAACAGGGAACCTGCGTTTGTGACAACAAACACGAAAGAACTAACTTAGCCAGGAACGCTGCTCGCTCTGGCACACAATTGTAATACTATATCATGTGTGCGTTCATTTCTCTCTCATTGTCTCTCCCCTCTCGTTGTGCCGACATGCATGCGATGTTGCGCATGAGATAAGTGCGGCGTTACGTGCGTGCGTTGCGTATGTGTGTTGTGTGTGTGTGTGTGTGTGGTGTTGTGGGTTGTTGTGTGTGTGTGTGTGGTGTTGTGTGATGTGTGCGCAGCGCCATTACGTGTATACCGCGTCTGCGGCGTCCATCATTGCGGTCTGCTAACCTGTGCGTGTGGGTCTTGCACTGTGTGTGCGTGTTTGCGCGCCTAGTGTCCGCGCTGCGTGCGCGCGTATGCGCTTTGCAGTGCGTGTGTGTGC